GGGGGGCTCCATGCCCCGGGACCGGCCATCGTGCATGCTCACCGAGGCCGGAATGCGCACATGTGTCCGGGCGCACAGGCGCGTCCGTGTGTGTTGAGACCTCCCCCCGCCCCATTCACCCAGGCATGATGCATCGACATTTGCAGCCAGCTCCCGGGGCGGCAGCGATCTGGGGGAAGGGCCGGGAACGTTTGTCCCGAAATGGGACCCATGCTTGGCGGGGCGCGGGCAGGGTCGGGCGCTGGAGCGACGAGACATGCATATTTGTGTGCTCCCCTGTCGGCCCCCCCCCCCCCCCCCCCCCCCCGGTGCCCGCGTCGGTGCGGGGCCCGACACCGGGGCGCGGGATCGGCGCATGAATCGTGGGCTAGTCGGGGTCTCGTGACTCCCCTCACATCACGGGCGCGCACGTGCGATGTGTTAACCTCCCTCGACAGTCCCATTGTGGGCTTGAGCGGCCCGCGCGTCCCGATCTCCCCGGGGGGGGGGGGGGGGGGCGGCGGGCAGCACGCGCGGCTACATGGGGCTGCATGGCCCGGGGCCCCGTGGCGCAGGGGGCTCTGCGGCGAATGGCCACACACACTCACACACTCACACACTCACACACTCACACACTCACACACTCACACACACACACACACACACATACATACATACATACATACATACATACATACATACATACATACATACATGCGCGCGCATGCGCGGATCAACTTGTCACGTCCCGCGTCCGCTTACCCCTGCCGCCCTGAGCCTCGACTGGCCATAGTTGAAGAAAAGAAGGGCGGGCGGGCGCCCCGGCCGTCGAGGGGCAATGCCCTGCGATGCTGGCATTGGGTGGCGGGAGTGGGCGTGGCCTTCCTCGCGCTGGGGCCCACCTGTGTCGCCTGTGCGCGATCTGCTCAGAAAAAAAAACCCATCCCTCCGCCGGCCGCGCCGGCCTGGGACTGCCGTCGCAAGCCGCCGAGCGCTGGCTGGCCTCCGGCATCGAGAGATTCCAGGGGCCATGCAGCCGATTCCGTCGACTGGCGGGCGAACCGCGGTCGCCTGGAGGCGAGCAGCTGCTCCGCGCGATACGATCCAGCGTGCTTCGGG